ATTTTGAACTGCAGAGTTTTTTAAACTGACTAGAAATTGTTTTTTTTGCAGGTAATGTAGTGCGGCAAAGACTTTCCCTGAGATAAAACTCAGGATAATGAGCGGATAAACAGTGGTGGATAATTGGTCGCTTGCATGAGCATTGAAATTTTTATGTAACATAGCCTCTCTTCTTTTTCTACTGTTGTTTCGCCTTTCAGGGCATTGGAAAGGAGGCATGTGCGTTTCAGTTTAGCTTTTAAGACTGTCTCTGTGTAAAGCTGCTGATAGAACGGAAACCGCACGGTTGCGCATGAAGGGCGCTTTATGGGTACATTTTTGATTTAGTGGCGTGGGTTAGTTTGCCCGGCTGGTGTACTAATGTAAGTCGCTTGCCATGCTGCTTAGTAAGATGGCGGAGCGCGCCGGAGCATTGGTTGGAGATAAAATTAAGGAGCTAAGAAACTAGCTTTTGCGTCATTTTTATTAAAGTTTTGATTTTTGGTGGGCGGTGATAAACAACAATACTGTGCTTTTTGCACGCTAACAGTTAGATTGTGCGGCAAGTGTATCCGTCTATCGCGCGTAGACTGTCTGCCACTTACTGAATATAAAACTTGGCAAAAAAGCGAATTTCTCTCCGTGATGCAGTCAGTTCGTGCTTAATTACGGCGCGTTCTATTTAAATTAAAATAATACGGAATTACAGCTACTCTTAAGGTAATTCTTGTGAGTTTGCATTCGTAGATGATTGTTTTATTTATATTTCTTAAAATTCGCAGTTTTTGACAAGCATGTTTGAAAAATCTTCTGGAGAAGTTGCTCAGATTTTCGCTCGAAAAACTGTGCTTCTTATGGAAAGAGCTTATGGAGTCGTCTTTTTTCTTTGTTTTTTTTCTTTTTTTTTTTTTTAATTTTTTTTGTTTCAAATGTTTTTGCCCACTTAGGTGATGTTCATTTTGAAGGGACTAGACAGTATTCGGATTAACTGTGCTGTACATGTAGGGTTTATCATCTTGATATTGTATATTTGTTTTTGCTTCATTACTGGCTTATAGTGTTTCAGAAAACTTTCTGCTGAAAGTTTAGATTTTTATATTTTGTGCATGCCAAACATTTTGTTTTAGACTTGAATTTTTTATTTATCCACCTCAAGTAGTAGAAAATCAGAAAACAGGATTAGCTTTAGATAATTGTTTATTTACTCTTCATTTCTCTCCGATTCAATCTTTAAAATTTTTTACAATTATTTGCTCGATGCAAGTGTTAACTTGTATTATACGAGTTATTCGTGAACTTTAGCTTGTGTAGTAATTATTTTCTTACGGAGGCATTTGGTAAGTTAGATAAATGATTAAGGTTTTCCTGCTAACTTAGCTGCCTGATGCTGATTTGTTAAGTTTTAATTACTTCTCTTCTCAGATTTCAGCTTTTTATTTAGTCTGTAAAGGACTCTGAATGGGGAGGGTCTTTCTATGTAGTAATCGTTTTCAATTTCTTGTGCTTGTCCATTTTTTTTCTAGACGAATTTTTATCCGAAATTCGTTTTATTTCTCTTGCATTTAGATACAACTTCCTCCAGGATCTAAACCGTGGTATGAGCTAGTGGATCCAATGATGACGCATAATAAACTTATCGGTAATAATTTGAGTGTTCTGACATAAAAGTCTTCAAAGCGTAACATTTTTTAGGTAGTAGTTACTAAGCTACGTATTCACATGCATTTCAGAACTGACCGAAGAATTTTCACAAATATACAGGACTTACGGAGAACAGTTGAGCATACGAAGATACGTTCGTAGCTCAAACCAGCAGGGTCAGAAACGCACCCATTCCATGTCTCAATCGCGTAAGCTCCATCGATTACTAATTGCATCTATCTCAAATTCTAGTGTTTTCAGTTCCAAACTGAACTGTTTGTTGAATTGCTTTTTAAAGTAATCGTGTTATTAGAAGCACCTTCGTCCTTAGCAAGCTTACCTCCTCCACCTCCAGCGCCCATGTTGAATTCCACGACGTCTTCGAAATCTGAGGCTAAAAATGAGCCAGCTCGCAAAATTGATATCAGCGATTATAAACAGCGAACAGTTGGTAAGATTAAATCATTGCAGTTTTTTAATTATTTTGAGGACTAGGTTTTGATGCCGCTCTTTTCCTCTTTTTTTTTTTTTTTTTTTTTTTTTTTTTT